ATTTTTCATTGAAAAGTTAGCTTCTACAAAAGGCCAATGACCAAGTTAATTGTTAATAATAGTTAATTTAGTCAATAGGTCTATGTTTATTGTTTACAGTATGCACTGACGGGGTATCCTAGGAAGTTTTTGAACTTTTATCAGGTACCCCTCCTCTAAGTTTCCTATCATTCGGCTGAGTCAACCGGGGAGATCGAATAGATACATAATATTCAATGGATCCTTAGCTACTCCATAGACTATGTGGCACTGTGATTCAAACCCTATACCTTCTGTGCAGAGGGCTGGTGCTGTAACCACTAGGCCACATACTCGATTGAAATGAAATCTATAACTTGCTGAAAAAGCAAACCTTAGGCTCGCGGTAAGACGCGCCTCATCGCGAGTGTGGCGATGAGATTTAAACGATTCTCGCACAAAACTCGCGCGTGTTAAGTCGAATTTTTTGACAACATAAACAAGTGATAAAATACACGTGATCGCACGCCATGTTAAGTTCCTAATTATTGTGTCCCTCAACTTTTAAGTTAAACTTTTTCTGTTTTCTTATTTTCTTGTTACATTTTTTCTAGTGTTTATTTACAAATTTTGTGCGATGAGCCTAACTTGCAATCTTGCATGAATCTTGACCTGGGCTCACGATGCAAACCTGGTGTATCGCATGTAGGGACCTCGCACCAGTCCCACCGGGTGTCCGGTGAGGTTGTGTAACACCATGTTTCATTGTAATTTTCATATGGGTTCCTGCAGTAGTTGTGATCACCTACTCCTTTGTCACCATATATGTCCGGAGTGTAGGAATGTGTGTGAGGTGATTGTTCAGTCCATTTCTGACAAGTTACACCACTCTTTGTCACGGACTGAGTTCCTTTATACCCAGATCCCTTTGCCTCCCTGTCATCTTTGCTCCAACAACCAATACCTACAATTTTACTAGGTATATAACTTTTAAAAAGGCACCAATGGAAAACGAAAACTTAGATTATAAATCTTATAAGCATATCCCTAAACTGTAACCCACAATTGACTTTGCTGAAAGCTTGAAATTTGTGATACAATAAGCTTTTTACTCACCGTTTGCTCCCACTGAGCTCACTAAATAAGCAGCGACGCAGAATAAAACCGTCTTGTACATGTTTACCTGCATACTTTGTCTAGCATGGTTGAACTGATTATTAATTAATTAATAGATAATTAGCACTGAGTAGGTAGGGAGGAGGTAGACAATGCAGAAACACACGAGAGAAAAAACGGAAAACATTTTAAAGCTAGTCTGAGGTTGGCTGAGCGGAAAAAGAACACGTGTCGTTCCACTTAACGATTCACTGTACGCTAGATGGCTACTTTATCCACTTATAACGATTAAGTTAGCAGTGTCGCGTAACTAGCGTCATGTAGCGTTATCTAGCGCTATCTAGCGCAAGGGTCGACCGAGTCCTCGGCCTCGGTTTTACCGAGTAATTGCGATTTTTCCTCGGCCTCGGTCAGGAGGACAATTCCTCGGTTTACCTCGGCCTCGGTTAAAAATTAAGTTGCTATTCCTCGCCTCGGCGAAATTTTGAAGATTTTAAGGGTCGACCGAGTCCTCGGCCTCGGTTTTACCGAGGAATAGCGATTTTTCCTCGGCCTCGGTCAGGAGGACAATTCCTCGGTTTGCCTCGGCCTCGGTTTTATCAAAGCAAAATTTACTCGGCCTCGGTCGCAAATCCTGCCCTCGGTCGACCCTTGATCTATAAGCGCTAGATCGTGACATTGTAAAGGTGCCACGCAATTGACGCTAGATGACGCTAGATGACGCTAGATGACGCTAGATGTCGAATTTCAACAATCGGTAAAGGTCCCTTAAAAGCTGTTATGATTTATGCTCCTAGCGAAATAACGGCAACTACACAAATAGGACTAAACATAAACCACACCTGCATTGAGCATATTGTTAAAATATACTAAGCAAGAGCTCCTGAGTCAAGAGCTCCTGAGTCAAGAGCTCCTGAGTCAAGAGCTCCTGAGTCAAGAGCTCCTGAGTCAAGAGCTCCTGAGTCAAGAGCTCCTGAGTCAAGTTCTTTAGCCAAGTATCACCTGCAGAATCTCGTGGGTATGAATTAGAACGGCACGACAGTCTCCGAGCTAAAATTAATACAGGAAGATGCACCTCAGTATTCCTGTTGAGGTTGAACAAGGAACCAACCACTCTGGGGTTTTGGCTGCCGGGCCGGAAACGGCCGGATATCAATCTGTTTGCCGAATTTTATCAAACCGGAACCGGGTGTTGGAAAATTGAAATTAATCCTTACGTGTTATGTGGGGTTTTTGATCATAATACTAAAATCCATGTGAACCTAAACGATAAGAAAGTGTTAGCAGTTCGAGTAACTGTGTTCAATTTCATGCCCTATCTAAATTTTCAACAGTCACTGGTTGATATTGTGTTGTGCTAGCATAGGCCCCTGGTTGATCTGCTGTATGAGCTGAGCTAGAAACGCGTTGGAATAAAATCAAAGCCTATATTTCAAGAATTTTATGCACCTTGCGAAGCACAAATGTAAAGATTGTTCTAGAAATAAAACCGAAACCCGAGCTATCACAAGTATGTGGTGTCGATATAACTACTAATACCACTACTACTAGTGACATAATGGCCTTCGTCACAATAAAATAGGAACCCTCTGCTTACAATGATCATTAGCAAAGCATCGCATCGTTGTGCCCTAGGCTTTGACTCCTTTCTTCGTGATACAAAAAAAACTCACATAAACGGGTCCCTCACATAAACGGGTCTCTCACATTCACTGACAGATTACAAGCTACCATGAATTCACTGTTCATTGAGAGTTATCCTGTCTATCTATTAGCAAAACCTTAGATGAGGATGATCTTACAGTAGTCAGTACCTAAATGTGTGTAGTTCGGTTACAACGCCCAACTTGAAGTTGAATCGATAAAATACCGCTAGACAGCGCTAGATGTCGCGGCCTTAGTTCTTAACCAAATTGTGTAGTGATGACTCTGTCCGCATGGCAGTTATAATTTGTCGGGCATTGTCCAAGATGATTTGATGCAGGCTTCCTGGCCAAGAACATATGCATATTCAGCTATAATGCTTTTGGACACGAAGGGTACATATTTAGATATGTCTTTAGGGTACACATACTGTAGTTTGACAATCATAAGTGAGCTAGATGGATCTCAGGTGGTTTACATAATCTCATCGTAATCTGCTGCCTTAGTTCTTAACCAATTTCTATGGTGATGACTCTGTCCTTGGACTATGGTTACTATCTGATTTGATGTAGGCTACCTGGCTACGAGCATATTTTTAGTTTAAAATGCTAAGGTAAAGCCCGTACCCGGTATGTGAGGTTTATGCGCTCATAAATACTCAATAGCAATTACTTGTCTTGATGAGTTTAGGTAAGTTATATGGTTCATGTCGTCCTGCCCTGAAAATCTTTACCTAGAAATGCCTGTACCACAACTATAACTATAACCCAAATATAACCCCGGTTAGATTTAAACCATATCCCTCAAAACCTCGCCTAAAAGTCATTTATAATCCAGACCCCTTGAATCTAAGAAATTTTGGGATAAAAGATTCGGGGCAGAACTGCAGCCACGTGGATCTACTAGAATTGACGAACAATAAGAGGAATATGTGGGATAAGTGGAGTACAGTAAAACCCCGATTCACTGCGGACTTGTAGGGAAAGCAAAAATGTATTTCTGCAATTTAGTATCACTAGCAGGAACCCTAAAGTGGTGTCAGGAGACAACAATTTTTATTTATTTAGTGATTTTGGCAATTTAGTCCAATTTCGGAACCCTAAAATTTGTATTTCTTGGCAAATTTTAAATTTCTTTATATACTGGTCAAAAGGCCATGAAAGCATTCGACCCAATCAAAAAAGTTTAAGTTGTATATCTTTTACAGTTTTTGCGGAATGTCGTGTTAAAGTTGATGACGCGGTGTCAGTAAAATGGTACGGATATATAGATAATCATATATGTATATATCGTTCTGCTTTATAAACAGTAAGATTTCCTTACTATCTAATTGCGAAACCTTCGATGAGGGTGATCTTCCCGCACCTACATGTTGCTTCAGCAGGGCACTCACTTCAGACCCCACATCCATAGACACGGCGGTCTAGCAGTCTGACTGCGAGGAAATTTTGGATTTGATAGGATATTTTGTGCCAGAGAGGAAATGTTCAGGGCTGCAAGACATTAGACTGCGAGGAAATGTTCAGGGGAGATAGACATTGGGCTGCGAGAACATTTGAATCTTTTTGGGCATCTGTCAGAATTTAAACAAACAAATAGCTTTAAATTATCGTTTAATCTTTAAATAATCTTTGCGTATAATGCTTTGTGCTGCAAATGATCATTGTCGATCATAGTAGGCTCATTTATCATTTAAGGAATAATTACGAAAAGCTTAAAACTTATAACACAAACAACTGTTTTTCTTTCTAGTGCAGTGAGCAAATTGTATTATCTTTAGCAAGGAAATTATAATCGACTTAGAGCATAGGGGGAAAAACTACAATGAGCACATTTACGTGCGACCAGTGAACCATCAAATTTCGAAATGAAATTAGTCAGAAGTGGTGTTTGTCAGCTGGCGCTAACCTCGACTGCTGTATAACTTGTATAGAGGTTATTTATAAAGCACACCTTGTTTTTTACTTATGAAATATGGTGGTAGTGGTTGTCACTTTACTATGGCTTGTGACTCCAGCTATAGTCCAGCTATAGTCATTAGTGACCTTTTTTTGCTGAAACTTATTGAACCTGCACGAAAACCAGATTGAATAGATCGAAGAATGACCCAGCCTAGTTTTGTTACAGTAAGCACAATTTGTTTTTTTAAATTCTCGACAACAAATTCATATACATACATAATTGGGTTTTCACTTTTCGATTTTTCTTACATTTTGAAATCAAATAAAAGTCTTCCATCTAACGATCGCGTCAAAATGACCAAAGTACATTCTGATTCTCAAAGTTCATTCTGATTCTCAGAATAGGTGACTACAGTTTCGTTCCAGAGCTTCGTTCCCTTTTGTTACCTTCGACTCTGCTCGTTGGGAGGCTTTGTTTTCTGCTACTTAGTTCCACTGTTCCTGAGATACTGACTAAATTAGTCCTTGACAAAGACCCCCTTTTCAATTTCAGCAAAAATCTCCTAAAAGAGGAACTCACGCAGACAAAAGAAACTGAGTTGAAAATGGATTGACTGAGCGGCAACCCATGCACCACTCCATACGAAATAAAGTTATCAGCTGTTGAGTATCTTTTAACTGGATTTAGGATCAAGTTAACAGCATGAATTGTGATTCCCAGGGTTACGAAACCACTGAAAGTGTTCATGATAACGATGATATTGATGCTCTTCCTATTTCTAGTGCTTGCTATTTTAGAAGCTGCTGTGGTTTTCTTGAGGATGTTCAAGTACCTGATGGTCATCACGCTAATCACCATCCCGTAGATCAGTACCAATCCTATCATGATGTATTTAACGTACAGTGTGACTAACGTCACGCGAAGAGCGTACTTTTCATTCATCGAGAAGACAAGTTGGCTGTGTCTCACTTTAAATAATGGCCTGAATACCCATTTGGATATTGCTCCAGCCAAGAAGAACAGCACTCGGAGAACAACAGTAGCAATTGTAATAAGTGAGATTGGACGGAGACTCTTTTGAGGGTACCTGACTCCTACATATCGCACTGTACATAGCGCCACCAGAAGAATAAACTCTATTTCCATTAAAAGAGGGAACATGTTATTAACATACCCCACCCAGCCCTTGTAGTCCAGTTCCAAGTAATGAGGTAGATCACGTGATAACAGTTTAGGGACCAGGATTATGGGAGAGTAGATACTCCTGGCCAGGTCCAGGGAGCTGATACAGAGGAAGAGGATGACAGCTAGACTTCGCTGTTGGACAGAGTGGTAGTAGAGGATGAGAGGGGTTAAGGTGAGTCCGATGAGGAAGGCTGTGATGCCGTGTACAGCACAGGCGTAGTTCAGGAAGATGTCGTAGTTGTTGGTGTCCCGTATCAGGGTCAGGTCTGTTGTGTTTGTGCTGGTCGGTATTCTTATCTCACCGAATATTCCCATGTTCTCTGATAGATCTTATCTGAGATAAAATACATTTTAAGGAAGACTAAAATAACAATTTAGAAACGATTAAAAGGAAAAAAAGGAGGGGAAAAACGAAAAGGGGAACTCGAAATACGTTGAGTCACATCTTCAAAGGTACTGATACAAAGGAACTTCAAAGGTACTAGTATGTAGTGACCAGAGGACTGTGTGCTAAAACAAATTACAACAACGCTTTTAATGTAATTCTGAAAGGTCCTGGAGGTACTCGAAAGTGGTAATGACGTGTCGTTAATTACAAAAGAAGTTAATAGATAACAGCTGGTTCCTCAAAGGTCCTCAGGAAGACTAAAGTGTGTTCCAGAAATAGCACCTAAAACATCCAACCTACGTACTCCCAATTTACAATTATAAAGACACGTGCAAACCAGCTGCCTGTACTTCATTACATATGATCTGCTATACGGCTGCGTTTTATAAGAGCACGTGGGATTCTATTAGTACTACTAGTACTAAGTACTAGATGCTATGAGTTATCATCATAAGCAGGACCCACGGGTAAATAAGTTCAACGTTTATTAAGACATACAAAGATGGGAAATATTGTTTAAACTAAAACTACAGTTATAAAGTAGTTGAACCACTTTACAACTGTTTAGTGTTTAAGAGGGAGATATTAGCGATATTGGGTACTCTCGTATTTGCTCCGGGACTATTTTAACAACAATGTGCGAATGTGAACTACACTACATACCTACACTACACAGGGCTGGTAAATGAATGTTGTAATAATTTTTGAGTAGAGGCTAACAGCTAGACAATGGTCTGGCGAAGAGACGCATCTACTTTAGAATTCCTGTATGTTTACTATTGTACTGTTTAGTGACTTCATATTGAGCACAAAACTACTTAGCCCATTCTTGCATGTGCAGGTTCATATTGAGCACATGTTTGTAGTGCTTTGTACAGGATGAGCAAACAATCAACTTCTTTTGTCGAATATTACTAAAAGATTGATCTTGTTTCCATTGTGAAAGTACAGAAACTGATCAGTGCATTACATTGTCTCTAGATGGAATTTCAAAATTTGACACGTGCTTACTGTGGTATTCTAGAAAAACAAAAAATAAGTCAGACAATAGTGCTTCTAATTGATTTCTACGTCTAACTCCAGAAATCTTACGGTAGTTTGAAATTTTATCTGTGCCATGTAAAATAGAAACACCAGATGTTTAACAATTCGAAAATAGCAGCGCACCAGAAAATGTTGTTAAATTACACTTTTATTTATGTTTTTCACTTTAGATCGACAATTGTATTGTAAACTGTTTTGAATCGCTATTTGTCAAAACGAACTTACACCACCCCTATCCACTATAATGTCCTTTTCTTGCGGTCAAGAAACTGTAGTATATAAATTAAAATAGTAATTACATTCAAGCTCTGATGAACTCTTATAGACGAAGAAGTTGCTGCACGTGCTCTGATTACAGCAGTATCATGTTAACTAACTTAACTAACTTTTAACTTACCCTTAACTAAATTACTAACGTATTAATTGCAGATTCCAGATGAGGTAGCAGCTGTAGACACAGCTCCCATACAGATCAGCAACGTTAAAGTCAGGAAGGATTACAATCCTAAAGGTTTGTTAATTGTAATTGCTGGCGAATGTTATTGATAAAATTAAAGAATAATTGATATTTCATAGTTTAGTTATCTTTAAATAATTTAATCCACCCAGAATTATCATTATTATACACTTCTTGAATGTCTTGTTGATATCTCTCAGTACATACTGTAAACATACTAATATTAATATATCCCTGCTGTTCCCAACCTCTTGTTAGATCTCCCTTTCTCTCTTCCTAACCTCTCTCTCATTTCAGCCAAGGCGGGAGCAGTACCCTCAGCACCATCTGACCAATGGGTGATATCACCCATAACGGGTGAGAGGATCAGAGCAGACCAGCTGCAGGAGCACATGAGGGTAGCCCTGCTGGATCCCAGGTGGAGAGAACAGAGGGACAGGGCTCTGGAGGAGAAGAAGAGGCACGAAGATCCTTATGCTCCTGGTATGAAGCTCACTTATTTTGTTGGTATTTTAGTGTGAATACCATTGAATCTGAATTATAAAGTTATAATGGTTATTTGATCGTGTCATGTTTAAGTAGATTGTAGATTTTAGTGACTTTAGTATGTCGTCAGGTTTTGATCAGAACAAGAATTGTCCGAGAATCAAATACTTACTGATCACAGAATAATCAGATATTATGTTCTCATTTCAATTAACAGATTGACTTGAGGAATAACAATTGCTCTATCGGATTTTTTTGACTGGTTTTCAGGTATTGATGTGAGCAACACGCTCAAACAGCTTGCTGAGAGAAGAACAGATATCTTCGGTAAGGGAGGAGAGGAAACTATGATCGGTAAAAAGGTGAGTTATTAAAAAGGTTTATTGTTGATCGGTAAAAAGGTGAGCTATTAAACAGGTTTATTGCCGGTCTGGTGTGCAGTATAGCATCAATTTAACTTCGCTCTAATGGAAATACTAGTATTATAGAGTGTAGACTGTATCAATTATGAATATAAAATTGATATTGAACATAAATATGAATGAAAATGAATATTGGAATTGAACATAATTAAGCATGAATGAAAATACGAATGTTGAATATAGATAACTCTGTGCCTCTCAGATAGGAGAAGAAGAAGTAAAGGACACGTCAGTACAATGGGACGGTCACAGTTCCAGTATGGAGTCCGCTATTGCCCAGGCTAAGAAAAATGTTACTATTGACGAGCAGATCGAGGCTATCCAACGTTCTAAAGGACTTCTGTAAGTAGATCATCTGAAATACTGACACGACTTCTGTAAGTAGATCATCTGGAATACTGACACCAACTGTAAGTAGATCATCTGAAATACTGACACGATTTTTGTTTCGTTTTAAAAATCTTTAAACCTACTGGTGAGTTAAACCTTAGAGAGTAGGAGTCAGTAGCGTCATAGTAACAACGCATGTAAAGTTATGTGTAAATATTATTATATTATAATATTAATACACAACAGTTACTGACCCCACATCCCCCTCAGACCTAACAAGGACGCTATAGGACCAGCTGTCCCCAGCTCCACAGCCCCAAGCTCCCAACCTCCTGTCAGTCTCCAGCCTCGCACTGGTACAGTACAAGTACCGGGACTACCCCAACAAGCTGTGTTGGTGCGAACTGCTCCTGTTATAGGTACGTTGTTATAGGTACTGCTCCTGTTATAGGTACGTTGTTATAGGAACTGCTCCTGTTATAGGTACGTTGTTATAGGAACTGCTCCTGTTATAGGTACGTTGTTATAGGAACTGCTCCTGTTATAGGTACGTTGTTATAGAAACTGCTCCTGTTATAGGTACGTTGTTATAGGAACTGCTCCTGTTATAGGTACGTTGTTATAGGAACTGCTCCTGTTATAGGTACGTTGTTATAGGAACTGCTCCTGTTATAGGTACGTTGTTATAGGAACTGCTCCTGTTATAGGTACGTTGTTAATTGTTATAGGAACTGCTCTCGTTATAGGTACGTTGTTATAGGAACTGCTCCTGATATAGGTACGTTGTTGTAGGTACTGCTCCTGTTATAGGTACGTTGTTATAGGAACTGCTCCTGTTATAGGTACGTTGTTATAGGAACTGCTCCTGTTATAGGTACGTTGTTATAGGAACTGCTCCTGTTATAGGTACGTTGTTATAGGAACTGCTCCTGTTATAGGTACGTTGTTATAGAAACTGCTCCTGTTATAGGTACGTTGTTATAGGAACTGCTCCTGTTATAGGTACGTTGTTATAGGAACTGCTCCTGTTATAGGTACGTTGTTATAGGAACTGCTCCTGTTATAGGTACGTTGTTAATTGTTATATGAACTGCTCTCGTTATAGGTACGTTGTTATAGGAACTGCTCCTGTTATAGGTACGTTGTTATAGGTACTACTCCTGTTATAGGTACGTTGTTATAGGAACTGCTCCTGTTATAGGTACGTTGTTATAGGAACTGCTCCTGTTATAGGTACGTTGTTATAGGAACTGCTCCTGTTATAGGTACGTTGTTATAGGAACTGCTCCTGTTATAGGTACGTTGTTATAGGAACTGCTCCTGTTATAGGTACGTTGTTATAGGAACTGCTCCTGTTATAGGTACGTTGTTATAGGTACTGCTCCTGTTATAGGTACGTTGTTATAGGAACTGCTCCTGTTATAGGTACGTTGTTATAGGAACTGCTCCTGTTATAGGTACGTTGTTATAGGAACTGCTCCTGTTATAGGTACGTTGTTATAGGAACTGCTCCTGTTATAGGTACGTTGTTATAGAAACTGCTCCTGTTATAGGTACGTTGTTATAGGAACTGCTCCTGTTATAGGTACGTTGTTATAGGAACTGCTCCTGTTATAGGTACGTTGTTATAGGAACTGCTCCTGTTATAGGTACGTTGTTATAGGAACTGCTCCTGTTATAGGTACGTTGTTAATTGTTATAGGAACTGCTCTCGTTATAGGTACGTTGTTATAGGAACTGCTCCTGTTATAGGTACGTTGTTATAGGTACTACTCCTGTTATAGGTACGTTGTTATAGGAACTGCTCCTGTTATAGGTACGTTGTTATAGGAACTGCTCCTGTTATAGGTACGTTGTTATAGGAACTGCTCCTGTTATAGGTACGTTGTTATAGGAACTGCTCCTGTTATAGGTACGTTGTTATAGGAACTGCTCCTGTTATAGGTACGTTGTTATAGGAACTGCTCCTGTTATAGGTACGTTGTTATAGGTACTGCTCCTGTTATAGGTACGTTGTTATAGGAACTGCTCCTGTTATAGGTACGTTGTTATAGGAACTGCTCCTGTTATAGGTACGTTGTTATAGGTACTGCTCCTGTTATAGGTACGTTGTTATAGGAACTGCTCCTGTTATAGGTACGTTGTTATAGGAACTGCTCCTGTTATAGGTACGTTGTTATAGGTACTGCTCCTGTTATAGGTACGTTGTTATAGGCACTGCTCCTGTTATAGGTACGTTGTTATAGGTACTGCTCCTGTTATAGGTACGTTGTTATAGGTACTGCTCCTGTTATAGGTACGTTCAGCGGCTTGTTTTGTGTTACATGTATAACCAACATTCAGAAACCCCCTTATACTAGATTGATTGTAAGATAATACTTTAAGCGATTTTATGGAGAACTCAAATTTCCAACAAAACAATTTCTCAAATTAAACGAATAGAATATATGAATCAAAGTTGACCAAATGATACTCTGTCAAAGAGCTAACTTCTAGATTAAACATGCTATTTTATGGGCACAGCCTCACCAATATAATATAATGTTCGCAACTCGGCAGCTCTTACTATTCCTCAGTAATTCCTCCTGTGCCATAAAAACCATCCCCGCTTCTGCTGCAGGGTACTGGCTAGCTGTTGGATACACGCTCACTGGGCCGTGTGCACTATCACTAACCAAGATGTTCATTGTGACAATATCCTAATTCAAAGCTGTTATTTTGAAGCGTTTTTCACACAGTTGTAAACGACATTGTAGTAGTTAAACCAGTGCTTGAAGCACCAGTGCTTCCAGAGGTGATATCATCTTCAGTATGTTCTGTTACGTAGTGCAGTTCCAAGGTTTCCTTTCTCGGCCATGACCCCTGCTGTAGAGCTTGTTTAGCCATTGACTCTCGTTTCCGCCCTGACAATGTTTCTGGTTTCCGTTTCTGTTCTGACCATCGTTCTGGTTTTGGTTCCCAGTCAGACCAACGTTCTGGTTCCCACTGCCACTTCGGTTCTGGTTCTGACCAGCTTTCTGGTTCTGGTTCCGGGTCTGGTTCTGGTTCCCACTCTGACCAACGTTCTGGTTCTGGTTCTGGTTCTGGTTCTGACCAGCGTTCTGGTTCCGGGTCTGGTTCTGGTTCTAACCAGCGTTCTGGTTTCAGTTTCGGTTTCGGTTTCGGTTTCGGTTCTGGTTCTGGCCAGCGTTCTGGTTCCGGGTCTTGTTCCGGTTCTGACCAGCGTTCTGGTTTCAGTTTCGGTTCCGGTTTCGGTTTCGGTTTCGGTTTCGGTTCTGGTTCTGGCCAGCGTTCTGGGTTTGGTTCTGGTTCTGACCAGCGTTTGTCCCAGTTGGTATCTGATTCGAATTCCAGTTCATCATTAGGTTCAAAATGAGGCTCCCTCCACCTTTTAGAAGGTACTTTAAGTATCCCTCTACCTCCTCTGGCTCCTAGAGGACCACTCTCAATCACTTCCAGAGTCTGAGCCAGTATTGATAGAAAAAGGAAGAAGACTTTCATCCTGTAAAATGTAGAAGTCGGTAGGTTGACAAAAGTTGTTAAAAGGGAACATTATTTAACGAAAACGCAACTCACATTCAGTATGCACTTAATTCAATAATAAATAATGTTGAAGCAAAGTTTTAAAAAGTTTTAAGTAAATCATAGACATTTTTGTACTATTTACAACATCAACTTGAAGAAATAAAGATAGCTAGAATAAAATAAGCTAACCACACCACACTCACATGTACATTGTGATTTATGAGAATTTCCAACAATACGGGGGTTTACACATTAAATAGTTCTACTAGGTGACATAGGTTGGTAACTACTAACTAGGTGACATAGGTTGGTAACTTCAAATCCGAAGAAAATCAGTGGCTTCCGGTACTTGAAACCTCGTCAAGCCTCCACTGATTTATTTATTATTGATATTGTTTGATTGTGCCGTAAAAATAAACAATTGTTTTATTAATAAGGCAACAGAAATTATAACAGATTTACCACTTTCAGTTCAGCAGAACCCCAACCTGCTAGCACAAGCTCAGATAGCACAAGTTCAAATAGCACAAGCTCAACAACAGCGGATAGTGCAGCAAGCTGCCGCTCAGCAACAACAAGCCCAAATACAGCAACAACAAGCTCAGATACAGCAGCACATGTTGCAGCAGCAGCTCATCACCCAGCAGATCGCTAGGGTGAGTTTATATTTACCTATTGAACACTTAGATTTCATAGATTTCATAGATTTTGGGACGGATTTTTGATATTTTTGATAGAAACATCAGATTTTTCAACAAAGAAATCAAAAATTGATTAAAACAGGCCACAAAGGGTAAAAACAACCGAATTTTCGCCGTTGGCACTGCTACAATACTCATTTTCGGGCCTCACTCGTTCTCGGGCCTCGAGCAGAATATGAAACCTCGCTGCGCTCGGACGGAAATATTCATAGATTTCATAGATCTTTTCTGAGATTCATAGATTTCATTTTCAAATTCACCTGGACACCCTGAATATATCCCAATATTGTGATATTAATGATAAGATAAAACTAATTTCTATTTCTCAACTAGAGACTGTAGGACCAATTAATGATATCTTCCGACCCTAATCTTCTTGTTTTGATAACAGCGATACTCCCTTATCAGTATATTATCTAACAAGATAACCCCCTCTCAGCAACAAGCAGTGCACCAACAAGCAGCCCACATGCAGCTAGCAGGACAACTCCTCTCCCAGCAGGCCGCTGCTCAAGCTGCAGCTGAGGAGCACGTTTCTAAACGGTTAGTTGTTATCTCGCGGTAACACGACTCCTGTCCGACAGCGACATCTGTATTCTGTCCGACTCAGGGTACCAGAAAAAAACGACATTGATCTGATTTCAATGTCGCCCAATCTTATCTCGCAATGTTTTAGGCTTCCTTGGTTTCCTTCTTAGTTGATCCCTGAAATCGTGAATAAACGTTGTGAAGATGGACATAGTGATGGATATAGTGATGGATAATATTAATGCGGTTGTCTGCAAATCTTAAATCTCCAATCTTTATCATAACAATCAATTAATTATCGTAATTAATAATCGTTATAATTAGCAATAAAATGATAAACTTTAGATCATATCAACCACTACTCCCTCAGTATAAGACTGGAAGAACCTGCCCTGCTACCGGAGGACCAATGGAAAGCTAGGTTTGCAGTTGGCAACTTCAACGTTAAAGTCATCATGCCTACCCAGGACCATGGAGATATCAAGCTCAACGGACAGGTACTGAGTCCAGTTAAATTACAGTAACTATTCAGGGACAAGTTTAGCGACAGCAGCTGAGCTCTGATATTATACAGCGTGTCCGATTCATAGTGTCAGCACTATTTAGTGGGTTGATGACACGGCTCTTTGTCATATTTTCTGTCGGTTATATTATTAAGTTATTATATTATTCAGTTATTATTTTATTCAGTTATTATTTAACTTTTTTTGCTATTACTACATCCATTCGGTTAATGTTTTTGTTTATTTAATTTTTTGATTTTAATAATTTACATATTTGACACGGTCCCTTTTTCCGCTGTTTTTCAGTTTTGATAAATTAACTTCAGGTCTAGAATCTAAACCCATCATGTTCCCTCGCTAGAAAGTTAATAGTTATAATTATCCACCGCTAATTTAAGACTCAGTAAAAACTTGATCACAATTTTCTGTGTGATTAAGTTAATCTCTCCCCAGTTTTAGTAACACGACGCCAGCTCCCACTATTATACTGGTGACTAGTGATTGACGGATGTTACTCGTCTAAATTTCTTCGAAGTAGCGCGCGCCGCTTTCTTCTCGAAATATTAGCGCCGCCGGGCCAGACCATTAACAATGGTCAAGACTAGTGACTACTATCCATTAGTTATTATATCGTCTTTTGTTTGGACTTTAAAGGAGCTAGTATATAACAGTTTAGTAACACACTCTTTAAATCTATACTAATAATATTATCTTTCTTACTGAGCAGGTGCAAAGTAGAATGGCCCGAACAGACTTATTACGTTATATGTTCACGAAATTTGTTGCATAGTTTGTTAGTTCGGTTACTTTGAACACCGGAGTTTGGTTTATATATGTATATATGTCGCTCGAGTTTTTAATTACCTGTCGAATAGTTTATAATAACGTGTAAGTTTTCATAACATCTATAAATCGCTTTATAAGTTTAAGTTTGGTTCTTTGCATTTAACATAGGGACATACTCGGAATACCCTACCGAAAAGAGCCTGTCGGTCGACTGATGGTACAAAGTATAAAATACCTTTTGTTATTCGCGTCCCCAAGTGTTCCCCTCTCAAACCCGCTCACGTGCATTCTAAAGATTTATCTCATCAGATAAGAACACATCATAATATGTCAAGACCGTTCCACTGGGTGTGTTCCTATTTAAGCGGCCAGGTGGTTGTCTTTGACCCGTGCTCTCCTATTTAAAGATTAGTCTCGTGGTTAATGACCTTGTCGCGGGTAATTTCACCTGCATCAAGTGTTGTTTCACCTGCATCATGTGCTGTTTCACCTGCATCAAGTGTTGTTTCACCTGCATCATGTGTTGTTTCACCTGCATCAAGTGTTGTTTCACCTGCATCATGTGTTGTTTCACCTGCATCATGTGCTGTTTCACCTGCATCAAGTGTTGTTTCACCTGCATCATGTGTTGTTTCACCTGCATCAAGTGTTGTTTCACCTGCATCATGTGTTGTTTCACCTGCATCATGTGTTGTTTCACCTGCATCACGTGTTGTTTCACCGTTAGTTTAAAGTTTACCTTGTGACGGTCACATCGCGGGGAAATTTCTGGTGGTAAAACTACCAGGATAATCTTTCGTTTTTCATGTTCTCCCAACCTTATCATAAATAACGAGTTTTAAAAAGTTGACATACTTTTTCGCGTTGATTCTCTCAAAGTGGAGTACCGTACCATCAGCAAACTGTTAGATACATTTGACATCAAATATTTTATAAGCATCATGTTGCTCTACCCTAGCTTACTACACTTTACAGTTCCTTTATGTGCCGGGCTTATATGATGTTGAAAATAGCGACTCCAAACTTACCCTAGCTAAATAACGCTGATAATTTGAGATTTCCGTTATATTTCGTTAATATAATGATGTCGATAATTTATTGGCGGGATAACTCAGTCGGTGTTATTTCCTAACTGCAGATCAGTGTACTGTTAACAGTATAACACGGGTATCAGTCAGTCGTGTCGATTATAATGACTTGAACGACAGATCTTTATTCTTCACGGTTGTTTGGTCTTATAGTTCCCAACAACGTCTGCTATTTTTAGTTTTTATAATTTGCGCCTACAGTCCTGTTGGATTTTTATATTGCTTATACTTATCGTCGTCCTTAATTATATCTTGAAGATTTCCGTGATTAAAATTCAAAGCAAATCTTCAAGATTTAACAAATGGTTCCAACAGCTCTACTAATAATGACAGTCTCACTACCCCCAACCACCACCATGACCACCACCTCCCTGTTCGTTCCAATATACAACAAACCTCTGGATATCTTCTACGGTACCCTGTGTTGTATCTGTTTCCTGATTGGGGTACCAGGAAATGTGGCGGCACTGACCTACTTCCTGAACCGTAAACCTGATGTCAGCGCCCTTCTCTACCGGATTATAACTCTTAATGATATTCTCATCAGCTTAGCAGTTTTTCCTGCTGGAATCTCCTTTTTATCGGGCAGAATGCCAGGGTTTCTGTTCGGTACCAATGTGTTGTGTTATGCGTGGGTTTACGTGTGGTTACTAAACTTGAGACTCAGCGTGTTTCTGGTTATGGTTCTGTCTTGTTCCAGGACCTATTCTCTGCTGAGACCCTTCGGAGAGAGACGACCCCGGAGTGTTGTTATTATCGTGATCATGTATTTCTTAGTGCAGTTGGGAGTAACAGTGGCGTTTCAGTGTTATCGGAAAACTAAGACGATTTATGTCGAGGAAATGGGAATTTGTGGGGTGGTACTCGCAGGAAGCAGTCCTCAAAAGAAAGGTTTTACCATTTTTCTGGAGATATTCAACCAAGTAGACGCTATAGCCCCGATATTTGTGGTTATCTTCAGTGGTCTAGTATCCTCTGTCGTGCTCTTAAAAGCAGACCCGTCAGGTTCCTCAAATATCATAGCTTTGAAACTCTCTCGAACAGAGCCACTGTTACAATCTTACTTTTCTCAGCTGTATATGCTATTTTTAACGTCCCGGTTGTGGCGAGTAAAATTTTATATCATATCGACATTTTCACTGGTTATAAGTTCAACTTTCATTCATTTGACTATGATCGGGAGTATTATTACTACTTTGAAAACTTTACTTTCACGTTGAGTGTTGCTCTGAATAGTACTTTAAACCCGTTGTTGTATTTGTGGAGAATGGATAGTTTCAGGAAGTTTGTCAGGGGTAGATTTTCTAGAATATTCTATGGAGATAACGTTGGAATCAGTAACTTACCTTCTGCTCTTTAAAATGAAACCAAGTTTTCCCGAAAACTGATTCGGTTATTTAAGAAGCAATTGGTGGAAGAATGCACTTAGAATTGATACAAATTATCTTTTTTATTTGTTAGAACTGATTCTAAAACAAACAAACAATAATTTCCTTAGCTGAATCCCACTAACTCGTACATATTTTGAAATAGAATTTTTCACAGTGCAAGAACTCTATCATCAAATATAAACGATATAATCAATAATTGTGCTCTTTTAAAACATGTAGTCGAATAAATGAATTGCTTCACAATACATTCTCTGTGCCACGTGACAATATTCCACCTAGGTAGTACCGGTGGAAGTATCTCTGGATGACACGGTGACGAAGATAAAAAGCAAGGTGACTGAGGTTATCGGACTACCGGCTGGCAAACAGAAGATTCTCTCTCCATCGGTCAGTCTATATATTTTTTTAGATTTCTATATTGTGCTGCATCGTTACCGAATAGAAACTGTAATAAGTAATTACCTGTTGCTTTGTTATATGGACACGTTCATTGAAGTTTGAGGAAATTGGTAAATTTCTAAAACAGCGTTTTTGACGATAGTGGTTTAATTTTAACATATATTAATCTAGCGTGTTCATAAGTTCTGAACATTAGCCACGTGACCCATACTCCCATATGCACTGCTCAAAAATAAAATGTATTGCTTTTAGGCACTGTTATGTAAAAAATGTCACATTTTTGTGACATTGTTTACCATAGCTGCCCAATTAGCATTTTTTGGTCTAAAATATAGTAGATTAGGTCAATCTAACAATTATGATACAATGTAGGCCTAAAGGGCAGTGATTTTCTACTGTGAGGTGTCCTCAAAACCCTTTCAACTCATTATTTGATAGTTCTTCTGCCAATCATAGCCCTAAAATATGTTGTTTTGAAAACTTAACAAATACATGCACTTGGCTATTGGGAAATGATGTAAATTCTGTCACATTATATGGAATTTGAAATTCTGGGTGAATTTCCGAAATCATTTGTATCTGATTTTGGTTTGGAAGGCGGGAAAACTCTATATGAGGACGATACACGGATACAGTTGATTGAAGTATAGAGCAGTTGATGTAAACATCGTCACAAAATGATACGAAATCGTAAATGGACACGTTCATGTTGAAGTTTAAGGATATTGGTAAACCAAAAAAAATAGCGTGTTCAGAAGTTCTGGACATTAGCCACGTGACCCATACTTCCATATACACGGCTCAGAAATACAATTTATTGTTTTTAGGCACTATAATGTAAAAAATGTCACATTTTTGTGACTGTGTTAACCATAGCTGCCCAATTAGCATTTTTTGGTCTAAAATATAGTAGATTAGGTCATTCTAACAATTATGATACAACATTTGGCTAAAGGGCAGGGATCGAACGGTTTTAAGGCAATATTTCGTAAACTTTGTCACACTCAGAATACGATACCTCTTTTCTACTGTGAGGTGTCCTCAAAACCCTTTCAACTCATTATTTGATGGTTCTTCTACCAATCATAGCCCTAAAATATTTTGTTTTGAAAAGTTAGCAAATACATGCACTTATTGGGAAATGATGTAAATTCTGTCACATTATATGGAATTTAAAATTTTGGGTGAATTGCCGAAATCATTTATATCTGATTTTGGTTTGGAAGGCGAGAAAACTGTATATAAGGACGATGCACGGATAGAGCTGATTCAAGTTAAGGGCAGTTGATGTAAAAATTGTCACAATGATAATAAGGGCAGTTGATATGAAAGAAAATCTATCTAACTAATGCAATGGCTGATGTGACGAAATTTACATTTCTTGACCCTATTTTGAAGAAACATGCCTCGATTAGAATTCAATATTCTTCCAGGATTATTAGTAGGTTATTATTCAGCAAATCAGAACTCAAGTTTAACAATTCTGAGTTTAATTTTACTAAGTTACCGAAATGTGACGAAATTCACTTTTCCTGCCCCAACAGTATAATTTCAATGTGATGAAAAATGGGCATGGGTTTCTATATTTCCTTATCTCTGAATTAATCATTTCAAACTATAATAATTAGGACTGTTGATGTGAAAGAAAGTGTATCTAAACTTTACAATGACGTATGTGACAAAATTTACATTTCTTGACCCTATTTTGAAGAACCATACCCCGATTAGAATTCAATATTCTTCCAGGAAATATTAGTAGGTTATTATTCAGCAGATCATCAGAACTCAAGTTTGACAATTCTGAGTTTAATTATACTAAGTTACCGAAATGTGACGAAATTCACTTTTCCTGCCCCAAAAGTATAATTTCAATGTGATGAAAAATGGGCATGGGTTTCTATACTTCCTTTATCTCTGAATTAATCATTTCAAACTATAATTAGGACTGTTGATGTGAAAGAAAATGTATCTAAATTTTACAATGACGTATGTGACGAAATTTACATTTCTTGACCCTATTTTGAAGAACCATACCCCCGACCCCGATTAGAATTCAATATTCTTCCAGGAATTATTGGTAGGTTATTTTTCAGCAAATCAGAACCCAAGTTTAACAATGCTGAGTTTGATATCACTAATTTACCGAAATGTGACGAAATTTACTTTTCCTGCCCCAACAGTATAATTTCAATGTGATGAAAAATGGGCATTACATGGGTTTCTATATTTCCTGTATAAATCCATTCCAATAATAAGGGCAGTTGATATGAAAGAAAATCTATCTAACTAATGCAATGGCTGATGTGACGAAATTTACATTTCTTGCCCCTATTTTGAAGAATCATACCTCAATTAGTATATAATGTTACTTTATCACCATCACTATGTCGATAAATTAGTTATTTTGCCAACACGGAGCAAATAAAGTTATAATTTTTTTTTGTGACGAAATTTACAAATTTTTACCCTGTTCAGGTATTGAAATTTATCCAATGTTAACATATCACTGCCATATAATAATTTATATGACCGGCGTATGGTTGAAATATTGTTAATTGACCCATAGTACGTAATATAGGGTGTTTAAGTGGGTATACTAATATTTACTCATTTTCACACATGTTGAGATATCATACAAATTTATGTGACTAAATTTACCTATTTCTGCCTTCTGTATTTGTATTTGCCTATAACAATGAAATATGTGAACAATTCCAAACACATTCAGCTCACAAAATAATGCTAGACTATTCGGCATTTCTTGTCAGGATGTCATAAACATCCCTCATATAAATTTCTTAAATGTGTGACGGAGTTTACATGGTGCTACCATTTAAGGAAAAAAGTCGCTAAATATGTAGATAATAGTCATATACAGCTATTCTATGAATTGGAAATTCGAAAATCTGGTCAAACACGGCAACAAGGGGTCCATATAAACTCCGTCACGTTTTTATAGTGTGACAAAGTTTACAACTCACTGCCGGCCGCATTTAAGCGATATCTTATCGTCTGATAAAGATATCGTTATGCGACAAAGTTTATCTAGAGGATGAAACGATTATCTTAGGGTTAGAGGGTTTATATAGTTTCATAGTGTGACACATTTTACATCATCGTGCCATTCAGTAGGGTTACTAATATTTACCAATATCCTCAAACTTCAATGAACGTGTCCATATAATCTCCGTTGGTCAGTTTCCTTTCAATTTTATATTTCTAACTCGTTTACATATTGTGGAGTTGGTGCGTAATCTTACGTATTTCTAGCTGCTTATTGCTCTGAATAATTTTGATAAACTGCACTGTTCCTAACAACACGTCCGGACAGGGTATGGTGCTGAAAGACACCAACACACTAGCTTACTACAACATACCACCAGAGGCTAACCTGACTCTGAGAATTAAGGAGAGAGGAGGAAAGGGAAAGTAGACGTTTCACCTGCTTATAATTTTATTTGCTACCTAGAAACGCTTATTTTAACCTTTCTTATTGTTGAGTAGGCTGTAAGGAGGTTATGTCAATTTGTTTTGGACGTGTCAGCTTTTTACAAATTTACGTCACTTTCCTAACAGACGTCAAATTCTGTATTTTATCGTGGTTATTTAAAATTTAAGAGGTTTTGTTCTTCGAAGCTGTAAGAGGTTTCCTTCAAACAATTTCCGATCAGAAATGCAGAGCAAAATGTTGAATCGAACATAAAAATATTCCTTTTAACCCTAATTTTAATTTTCATCGTATAATCGTGTTTTATTTCTTGTATCTTGGATTTTTTGGAATTAAAAATAAGAAATCCTTAAATTGTGAAATGAAAATTCAGAGTTGAGACACAGTTAATAAACTGCGGAGTGACTAAAATGCTATACAGCAAAAACAGAAGGCTCCAACCAAACACTCCACCTACTGATCCTAACCACCCTAACAACTCTCAAGCTCTCTCTCTTCAACCCTCATTCCCTCACTCCTCTTGGTGCACAAAACCATTCTAACCTATGTATGTCCCCCTTACGGGTTCCACAAGCCCAACGGTACATAGTTAGACGAAAAACAGAGAAGCCTTGATTGCCAGATCAAGGACTGCATCAGTAGCAGCGAAATACGGATATACCTTCTCCCTTACAGTCAGCGAGCTGACAACTATCTGCCTGTGTCTTTTAGGCCTTGCCACACCACCTTCGCTATTGCATCCGCTCGCCCGTATTCACTGACACATGCCACACCTGGTTTTAGTATGAAGATGTACGCATATTCACCCAAGATGCGGAGATGCCTCAGTTTAGCGAGTTGAGATACAACAGCAAACTCACAGGAGCATGGATCAAAATCATCAGTTACCAACCTGACACCGTTTCGGGGCTTTAATCGCAATACGGTTTCCTGTCAGGCGCCCCAGCAGTCCACCCTTGAACCACCATCTGATCCGAGAGTCACTTGAGGAGACCCGTTAGAGCTCGCAATTGGCGACGAGATAACGTTTATGGTACCTCTAGATGTTATAGTGAACTCTCAAGCTCCAACCTTCCTGAACTCCCACTCCCTCTTTCTCGATAACAAGTAAATCCATCTGGAACAGTGGGCTGCCTCTTTCCCACTGTCCCGTACCAGCTTCTTCAGCTCTCTTCCCCTAAAACCAATCCTCCTCGCAGCTCTCTCCAAACTCTGCGCAACCACTCCCCTAGCTCCAACTTCGACTGCGGCATTATAACAGCACCAACCTTTCGCCTGAATCTCAGCCTGCAGACCACTGTATCGGTCGAGTTTGTACTCGTGCGATTCAGCGATCCGCTCTTCAGATGGTACTGTTAGCTCCCACCAAATAACTGTCTTTGCTGACCTTGAGAATATCACAAGGTCCGGCCTCAGCCGTGTTTCCACAATCTCACTGGGAAACTTAAGCTGCCCCTCAAGGTCTGACTGCACTATCCAATCCCGATACCGACTCAGGATCCCGAAACCACGACTCTCCTTCCGGTCGTCTTTACCTGCTTTTCTCCTCCCAGCAGGAACAAAATCAATGAACTGTCTTCCATCGCCGGCCTTGTTCTTATAAGTGTTCACTCGGCGATCACAATGGAAGACAACCTGTTCAGATATCTGCTTCAGAACCTTGTCGTGCCGCCATCTATACCTTCCTTGACTAAGGGCCACCTTACATCCAGAACAGCGTTAGCCAGGTCAAGCCATACTACACTCAGATCCTTCTTCTTGACCTTTGCCTCCTTCAGTACCTCCCACATGGCACCAAAATGCTCCGTGCACCCACGGACGCCTGGCACACCACCCTTCTGTATAGAGAGGTCTACATATCCATTCGAGACAACAAAGCTGGTCAACCTTTTCGCCAGGATCGCCAAATAGATCTTCCCTTGAATGTTACCCAGGGAAATAGGCCGTCCCGAACTTGGTGAAAAGTCGCCATCCGCCTTTGGGATGTAGACACCCTCGAAATACCTACAATTGTCAGGATATTCTTCTAACTTATATCCAGTTCTTAACAGGTCCCAGAGATTCTTGGCAATACCAGGACATCTCTTGTACACTGTGTATGGGATCCCGTTGTTACCCGGGGCACTCTTGCTCCTTGCCTTCTTTACAACCTCCTCAAACTCCTTCTTGGATACCGTTGTGAGGTCAAAGGCAACAGAGGGTTCAGGAGCACACTCAGGCAGACCCTCAAGTATACCAAGGGGCTGCTGCCGAGCTGGATCTCCGTACGTTCTGGCCAAGTGATCATCTAGCTCCTCCTTTGAACACTTAAGCTCCCCCACTGGACTTGGATTTAGCACTCCCTTGACTGTCTTGAAAGGGTCGCGTCCAAAATCCCCTCTAACTCTCCTTATCTCTTTCTGCTTCTGTCTCCTTTTCTCAGCCCTCCTCAACTTCATCAAACGAGCAGCCAACACTCAATAATGCCTCATAACCATCCTTCTCTATCTCACTCCTTGCCTTCCTTTTCTTCCTCCTCAACTGCTTCCTCTTTTCAATCAGGCTGTCAATCTCCTCCTTTCGCCTGTTCTTAAAGCTCATGGACTTCTTTCCACTACCAGCACCTACTTCAACAATACCAAACAACTTGGCACCCTCGTCGTACACTACATCACAATGACTCACCATCTTCTCTTGAAATGGTTTCCGCTTGAGAACCACTGCAAACTTCTCTACCACACTCTCATCAAACTCCGTCTACTCGAACTCCCTAGTGACTGTTTTAGTGCTTCATGAATATCCTCAGACTTCCTATCAGTCCTACAAGTTCTGCCATGTATTATTGTACAGAGCATATTCTTAAAGTTTGTACCTGTATCCCTTTCTCCTTTCTTCGACATCTTGTCCAGTGAGAGGTATCTGCTTGCCTCCCGTCTCGACCAGTAGAAATGATCCCAGCATACAAAGGACCGAGATAAAAGCTAGACCGCCAAGAGGCACTGCTTTGTGAGTGATGGGTGCCAAATTGTTGAATATAAACGGACCTATGAAGGAGCCAAGTCTAGAAATGCCACAACAACTGCTCAACACAATACCCCTATGTGTTGTTGGTGCTATTTCTCCTGTCCAAAGAAACAAACCTGAGTAGGCTCCGTTCACAAACATGACCCCGATTAAACTCATGAGGCTTTGCAGTGTCCAGCCACCTCCAAATGCAACGTTTAGTATCGCTATAAGATAACTAAGAGTGGCCCCTAGAAACATGGCTATCATGGTCCTTCTCCTTCCCAACAAGCCTATTAAAGAGACAGTCATAAAATAAGACACTATTCTTCCAACACCAGCCATAATGTACCCAGAGTATCTATCTGGTAGTATTTTTCCCCAACTAAAGCTAAAGCCAGTATAAAACATAGCAGTGGATGGCCAAAGGGTCACGAGGATAATCGTCTCAAGTCGAAGACTTGGGTACCTAATAAATTCGATCAGTTGCTGTCTGGCATCATGGTTTCTATCTTTAGTGTTTCTGACGTCCGTTATTTGGATGTTTTCTAGATCCAGGTCCATGTTGTTTAATTTCGCCAAACCCTTAAAGGCTTTTTTAGCTGCCTCCACGTCATTTTTTATCAAAAAGAATCTGGGCGATTGGAGGTTGCTAAAAACAGGGGTTTGCTAAAAACATGTTGTTCCAGCTATACATGAAGTAGCCGATTCCTACTGCAATGGGGTAACCAAATGAACTCAAACACCCTGCCCAACAATTCATGATGTTCCTATGTTTTGATGGAAGAAGTTCGGCAGTGAGAAGGTACATGCCATTGGACGTTAAAATGTTAGCAAGACCAATGAAATACCTAATTGCTAGGAGTAAGGTGTAATAATGACAAAATTTCCCCATTAAAAGTGAAGAAATCCCGATGACCATGCCAATCATTGCTGTTTTCTTTCCCCCAATTTTATCCAACAAGTAACCACCTAGAATTAATCCTGACAATCCTCCAGCATACATAATAGAAGTTAACAAGGTTTTTTGTGCCTTTCGGGATCCGACATCACAATACAAATCAAACTCTGCAGAAAATGAGGTATGTTCAAGATTCCATTCTATGTCAGAAGATCCAACGGTCAGTTCTTTTTTGCCATCTACTTCTTCGGTGATTTCGCAAGGAAATTTTTGCAGTAATGATGGATTGGCTCTTGTCAAATTAAAGCACTTTTCAGATTTGCATTTCCAAGTGTCGTCGGGAGTTGGGTCAATACCTGGATCGAAATAGGAATTAGTAATTTGCTAAAATAAATACAGATTTTTGATCCTTTTCATTAAAAGTGGTGCATATAGGTATACGCAACAAACTTTAAATTTCTTCCTGGCCGTATGTACTGACTAATGTTACACTGGTGTGCCCACCTACGAGTGAAATTGAAACGTAGCGCGCCTGAAACGTCGCGCGCCTGAAACGTCGCGCGCCTGAAAGCATGACAATGTCAGCCGCGCCGAAAGCTTTCATAAGGTTTCAGTAATCGCGTCTGCGGCAAATTAGAAAATTTTAAAAATTTGCCAGTATTTGTCACAATTTGGCGGGACTGGAATATGATGCATTGGTTCGGTTAAAAAACCACCAGATATAATGATAACAAGATTAACGGTGACTGAAATATGGCGAAAACTTGTTTAGCCCACAGCTATTGAAAATGTCGAGTTTACGAAGCTTGATGACTTAATGATAACACAATTCTTTTAGGCAGATAAAGATATTAAATCAAATACGTGAAAACATAGCACAGTATGATAAATAAATGAACATTATTCTTAGTTTATTCCTTTTGTGTGAATAAGATCACCGTAGCAGACAGCAGTTCACGCAACATTGGCCGTGTGGACTGCTTGTCACTTGCGGAGGACATTTAAAAAACACGTTCTAGAAAAGTACACGTGTTAGTCAAAACAATACATGCACGTATTACAAAAATAATTACAAGTGTTAAATTACCAATTCTTAAAAATACACGTGTTACAAATACAAATACACGTGTAACAAAATACTGAGCACATATCAGGCCATATATTTGCTTAAATTTGAAGTGAGTTAAGTTTTAGAACCCTTTAAAAGCAACTCTAAAACTCAAATTCTTACCATTCTGAAAGGATTGGATGCTAAACGATGAGTATCGTTGATCAGGAGCTCTATTTATCAGGTTTTATAAAAACGCCAATAGAAAAATGCGAAGATTTTTTATAGGGTCTCCCAGGAGATTCTATGTACTTCCAAAAGTATACATCCATTTTTTTTCCAGGTGTATTCGAGGAAATGTCTAAGCTTGTTATGTATGCAGTTTCATTGACCTAATACAAATGATGGAATTTAAGTGAATTTAATCTGGCGGGTGGTGTTTCTTTTATGCAGATAAAGAGCTGAGTTGTGGTCTAAGATGGGAAGCCATAACTTATCTCTGGATCTCAATCGGGTTGACATAATTAAAATAATAATGCAATCTTGTCCTTGTCCTCTCCCCAGAATCCACAAGATGGTTAGGAGAATCGTCGAGGGACAAGCTGCGTCCGAAGAGCTCCGAAGGAGGCTTTTCAATCAGTTCCAGCCTGAAATGAACAGTTTTCACAGACTCTGCATAATATACAATTAATAATAAAGCTGGACCTGTTCTTATGATAAAATTAATTAAAAATAAACCATGTTCCCCACTTGGAAACGATGTCACAGACAACACAGCCACACAATTTAACGGTAAAAATTTTTCATTAAATAACTGACCCAACAAATTCGAGTAATGAGGAGGAGACTGAATCTTACTTACTGTCTTCGCGTCTGCCGCGATCTTGAGTAGGATCTTTCCTGCGTGCTCCATGAGCTCCAGTTCGTCTGAAAGAGTTCTAAACATTAGTGGGGGGGGGGGTCAATTTCATTTTACCTCATTCGGGCAGCCAAAATTGGGATGAGGTAAAATGAGGTAAAGTGAGGTAAATGAATCTAGTTTTCTGAGCCTTTTTAGAGACAAATGTTTTTGCCGAAATTTACTTTATTTTACCTAATTCGGGCAGCCAAAAAAGGGAAAAATGAGGCAAAATGAGTCAAAATAGGGTTTACCCCCCCCCCCCCCCACATTAGTCGCCAAAGATTCAATGATCCTACATTTCTTGTTGTTGTACGGATAGTATTATATGGAGACAGGTTGCTTTGACCACACATCATATCAACAAAACGAATTCAGTTTTTTTCCTGTGCAAACTTATTGGATTGGAAAGCAGATTGTGGCAGATTGTTTTGTCTAGGTAGTTAAATCTCGCGGCTTTCGACCGGTGCAAGATTTTGTTGGGGAGACCCTAGTATTTGGACGTGATCAAGGATTTTTTGTTGCAAAAAAAGAGTAGCAAATATTTTGGCTGGGCCGCGCCGGTGAGCCAATTTTTTCCGGGACTGTTTGATCGAATACCTATAAATAAGTTACCTTGATATGCGACAGCCGACAGCTGGGCAATACTCTTGCCGAACACATCCCATCTATCCTCCTGGAGGATCTGTCTCGCCTGTTCGGCCACGGCTCCTGATAAAAGACTGAGGTTCAAACAGACATGAAATTTGCTAAAAGTAAAGAGATGGATTTCTGAGATAACCTGCAGAAGTGGGTTAGTTTTAACTTTAGAACTGAGTTATATACACATACCAAGTGAAACGTGACTTATAGTGACCTAAAACTGTAGTGGTTTCGATTGCATATCTACTAACCCCCATTTCGACCGTGAATGGGTATTATATCGCTTAAAATAGACTTGATGTGCGTCAAACCAGCTACCTTTGTGTGGAAACGGCGATGCAATCTTCGACTTGAAGAAAATTAATGTCCGAAAGTTTAAAAACGATATGTTGCACTTGAATTATTACCTATCACCGGATTGATCTTCAAAGCCTCCTCAACCATTGTCGCCGAAGTATCTCGGAGGCCCTTGGGGTGAAGATGTCGTCTCTCTGAAATGATAAAGGCGTGACTAAGTTATTTTCGACGTTGCACAGAGGGAAACCTTACGCCTTAAGGTTAGGGAGTTTTGTATTATGGCGAACGCGTCAGTTATCACACAAAAGTCTGATTAAATAATGCGGTTTCCAATTTTTACTCGTCACAAAGATCGTACAAAAAAATGGTCAAAGATGAAAGTATCAACTTTAATTGACCAAAGATGAATTCTTCCTGCGCCTGGTGAGTGGTGACCCATCCATATTACAGGCGATAATTCTAAATGATGTTTAGAAATAGCTGTAACTCACTCAGGCGACTCTCGGACTCTTTCTGAAGTCTGGATATGTGGTCTTTTCGGACCTTGCCGGTTGGAGGCGCAGGCCCGGCTGCTGGTGTGGTGTCCGGTTGAACGGGGGGTTTTGCGACGGGGGCCCGGGGCTCGCTCCGGATGGCCAAAGCTATTCTCTGAACAGCACCTGGAAACGTCACAGCGGATTAGTGTATGAAAACGAAGTTATTGCAGGATGTTCCTACTTGAAGAATCGTATTGTAAACCATAAAATTTCAAACTGGGAGTCCGCTCTGACGATGACACAAAACTGTTTCTACGATCAGTAGATAGTACAAAAAATGACTAAACAAATATTAGCATATTCAGCACAGGTAGCGCCTAGTGACCCATCCGGATGACTTTTAAAATAGCTATAACTCACTCTGTTCACTCTCGGGGGCTGTCAATGATCCAGGTTTCGTGACGGGAACCGGGGGCATCTTCTTTATCACTCTCTGAATAGCACCTGGGAATCGCCTACGATTAACCATAATGCAGCAATTCATTTTAAAGCCCAAGATAGGCTATACTGATACAGACGATCAGAGAAGGTAGGGCAAATTTATCGTCGGTCATGAGTTACAGCGAAATTCTCATACAGTGATATGAGTGAGCTTCACTATGGTATAATTATAATGTAACAATATGTATACCTATGTCGCATCTCTCGAAAATATTAGAGACCCTGATCGGAGCCTCGTTAACAGTTGTTGCCAATTGTTCTCCTCCATCAACACTGTCTTCTCCGGGTTGCTAAAGGTCAATGGTAGGTAAAATTAATAGCTAATGTAATATCTAATACACCACGTGAAAGCGATTCATAATCAATACCTATCAGGACTCAGGGGGGAATGATCAATTTATGTTCAATCAGTGAGAATATTAACTGTTAAGTTGAAGAACTATATTCAAACCTTGTCGTCTTTAAGCTGTAAAGAAGTTCCAAAAAACTTTCTTGATGTCTTCGTCTAACTTTGTCAGACTTCCACTCTGTCCATCACCACTCCTACCTCCCTGTTCAGGAAATGTTTATACTGTATGCCACAGCATGTTTTTGAAGCATAGGCAATTATAAACACTGCAAACATTCCACCCGACTGAACTAAGGTGATGTTGCAGTCGGTAATTATCAACTGGAACCTAGTAAAGTAAAAAACGGGAAACTTGTTTAAACTTGTACAAAGCAAAATGCCTGCTTATCATGTACAGCTCAATCTGATTACGGATGTTCTCATTGATCCCACTGCCAGGACCTTATTTCGGAAGATCTGTGACATCAAGTATAATTACTTACCCTTTATCTTTTTGAGGGCGGTGATCAGCTCACAGATTGTAGATATTAGCAACTTCCTATTTGCCGAAGTCTTGTCTTTTTTCTCATCAATGTGCACTGTAATTACAGCCGAATGAGTAAGTGGAGTAGATACCTGATCAGTGATCACATAGTACCTTACCCATACGTCGACCATACATTGGTCGATAAAAGAGTGGTCGAAAGGAAGCATAGTCATCAATAAGATGCGGATTTTCTCTCCTGGTATATTAATGACTTAAAACGTATCTACATATATCTACCACGTCTTAGAGGAGAATCATTAACTTTCAACGATCAAGTACGGTCTTTTAAATCGTCCTTTCGACCACTTTTTTAAACAATCATCACATGGAATTAAACGGGTTTTCACCCCTCGACATTTCACCTCACGATCGTTGGCCCCCTGGTTTTAATCTCAAACGTTGTCTTACACCTAAACCTGGCCTAGCTCCGAGCTATGATAGCTCGATCCCCGACTCTAACCCTTACCGTTACACAACATTAACCCAGACCACAACCCAAGCCCTTTAAACTACCGTTTTGCGCAACCACTTGTTCAAAGAATCCATGACAATGCTTCCAATTTATGAACAAATAAAAAGAAGTGTGGAGGAGAGGCTAACAGAGGATACTTACAATCTAGATCGCACTGCAGGCTTTTTACCAACTTGTCAATGTTCGTAGGTGTGAACGTCTTTCTGAAAATATGAACAGTTGAAAATCTTCTAATCATTGTAGGCTATTATTCTTATTCTGCAAGGCTGATAGTGTAGTTTCAGCTCATCATATAATTTATGTATCAGTAAAAATTGTCTTGGCAGCTGCGCTATGGTTGTTAGCTCTCAAAACGTGATCGTTACACATCTACTAACATGTGGAGAAAGTCCAGCTTATCCTTCACTTCGGTTAGCAAAAAAAATATTAAGGTACTTCAACATGTTCTCTTCTTGTCATCATTTTGAATCTTGGTAACCGACGTTTCCCTTTCGAACATGTTTCCTACAATAAGTAAGTCGAGATAACAGAATTATTGCAGTTAGCAGTAGATACATTATGCAGTACATTATACGAAAAGGAAAATCAACCAAAATATTGACCTACAATGCTATATATCTACTTGATGAAGGTTTCAAAAAAAACAATGCAAAACCCAGTATGACAACGCAGTGAAACACACCATATTACTGTGGCTGTTAGGTAATAAAAGCTGTTCTGAAATAGAAAGAAACCTTTACAGAACGGATTCCATTCCAGCATAAAATTATTAGTTTGGTGAAGAATTCCTTCGTGAAAATACAAAGTAAACCCGGCATATCAAAATCTGCACACAGAACCATATTAGTTATTACTACTATAATAAACAATTTATTAACAATTTTTATATCAATATGATGAGAAGAGTAATACCAGCAACAAAATCAGGGTTTGATACTCTTGATAATAAACTTTCCTAACAATCTCGATCAAATATGATGTAATTAAAATATCAAGGCTGAAGGCTGGGACGGAAGCAGTGGCTGTTAGGAAATAAAAGCTGTTTCTGAAATATAAAGAAACCTTTACACTTTTACAGAACGGATTCCATTCCAGCATAAAATTATTAGTTTGGTGAAGAATTCCTTCGTGAACATACAAAGTAAACCCGGCATATCAAAATCTGCACACAGAACCATATTAGACAGTTCATCTAAATTTGTATGTACAATTGATACAATTGCTTTGTAGTGGTTATTGGCTGATCAAATCTCCAGATAAAATTTAAATAAGATCATGATATTATTGCTGTACACAACAAACATGAGACCATTTTTTAAAAACCTCAGCTCTACCCTCATCAACGGAATGAAATGCAGACCGGCAGTTGAACTCATCACAGGTCAAATACTGCATCTACGAACATATGTCTGTCAATGACGCTCATCTCAGGGATGTTGGTGTATCATTAGTCCCTGAGGGATTATTATGTAAACTGCACCAAACGCTTCATTGAACCCAAACACCTGGATGACTTAGGAGTCACCTAACTCCTCCTGCTGGTGCATCATTAGTCCCTGAGGTGAGCGTCATTGACGCTCAGCTAAGGGACTCCGTCGGGTCTATGCAGCCTCCTTAGTGTATGAGAAACCACATGCAAGGGTTAAATGAGTGACCCTATTAAAGATCTAGAATCTTGTAAGGGTCCCCTTTAAAAGATAAAGAGAAAGAGAGAACTCCTGGCTTCTGTACAGTCTATTTTCCATCCCAGGGCTCAAGTCACCTCCACCCTCCTTTATTTTACCCCTTTCATCCCTTATCCCTAGGGCAACTGTCTCCTTTCATTGTCCACCCCTCCCCCATTTCCATTTCGATATCACCAGCCATATATATTCGAAATATTCATATTTACCCTTCTGTACTGACTGAAGGGGACCCTTACAAGATTCTAGATCTTTTAGCAGGGTCGCTTGCAGTGGCGTAACGTTGCCTGTTGGCGCCCCCAGCCGAAAAAAGCGCCCCCCCTATTGGCGCCCCCTCCCCTTTTGGTGCCCCTCCTTAAAATTGAACAAGGCGATTTAAGAGGATACACCGGTAAAATCTCTAAAAAAGTGTGTGTATCTAGAGCAAAACGCGCAGTTTTGCTAGTACTTAAGTTAAGTTTTCAAAATTGTCCCACATTCAAACGACGATTTGGAAAACTCAAATCCTGCCCATACACCACCAAGCCTAAAATAAGTGTGTATTTATTTCAGCATATATGTGTTTTGTCAAAAAAGGAGTGTTTAAGCATGAAAATTACTGAACCAAATGTCCCCAGGCCAATCCATTTAGCCAATGTGCAGCAGCATCACATCTGATAAAGTAAAAGTAAAGTAAAAAGTCGGTTGAGCTGAGGGCAAACCAGTTAATAACCCATCTTAAAATCTGCCCAAACAGTAGTCAGGAATGACTTGCTGGGGAAAACATTTTATAATTCTGCAAATACATGTGAAGAGAAGGACTCAGCATGTCATATTTTTTCTGGCGCTGGTAAAGTAATGTACAAAATTATGACATAACATCATCACACATATCTCCAAAATGTCAAAAACTCTATATAATAGAAAAAATAATAATACTGGTGGTTACAAGACGAACAATTTTGTACATATATAAATGACCGGAAACCCTACTAAACATAGAAACACTAGTGCATGGTTTCAGGACATAACATTGTTGTGCCTGATATAGGAGAAACACATTTTTGTTGAGTGTAGAAAGTCAGGAAACAGCGATTAATTGATATATAATATCAAAAAACATATTATATATGTTCAAAACCATACGTGCTATTTTGTAGCCAAAGGAGCTAATTTCCTTATGAGAACCGCATTCCAAGCTTGTGCAATTTCATTTAGCTACACACAATTTATAGTCTTACTTCAAAGCTGTAGCTGTTTGGCCGACGTCCGTCATCCAACCAAACATCATCCACCAATACATATGAAAGTAAGAAATTAGTCCAAATACATGCAAACGTCGCTCAAGGGGCATTGAACAACAAAGCACCACTTTTTATATTAGCAAATGGTGTTTTTTCACCATGAAGTAAAGTAATAAATCTGCTAAGTCAATTTTGAAGAAATTCGACAAATGTTGTCAAAGCGTTCGATTTTTATAGTTCGAGGTAAAACGTCTTTAAATGCGCGGCTCAATTTTTTTTCTTCCTTAATTTTGTTCAGTACCAGTTTTTGATGTAACAAATCTACATGAATTTTTGAAAGATTGAAATACATATTTAAACACATGTTTTTTGTTTTAAGTTTATGTATGTGGTGTAAACATTTTTTCCTTTATATTTTTCAATTTAAACAATTTTTAATAATGCATTTTTTACATTTTGAACATTAGATATATTTTTAAAATCTTTTATAATCAAAATTCAATATTAGATTAAAGTTCATTTTGTAGCGCGATGCACTACTGGGTCGCGCCGCGCATCAAATAATTCTTCTCGCAACCTTAGGTAGATCGGCAAACTGCACTTTTGTGCCTCACCAAGCGGCGAAGGTTTGACATCGAGATAAGAATCAAAGTTCATTTAAAGTTTTTAATTCAAGTTTTCAACCGAAGTTTTCAATTAAAGTTTTCAATTAAAGTTTCATTTAAATATAATAAACTTAACAGCCACGCTGAAAATACATAAAAGCGAAAATCAGAGGCGCGCCGCGCACATTCGCTCCATCATATATCCTAATTCAAAAATCGAGCGCTTACTCAAAATTTCTCAGATTTGCACATTAGTGAGTTAGTAGCTTACTGAAGTTACTGCATGACGACAAACGATTCTACGGTGTCGTTTTCTTGATAAATGCAAATCAAACAATATTTGCACAAATTTCAAGCATCGCTGCTCAATCTGCCATCTATTGTTGTTTCCTGAGGTTTTGATATATTTTTCATAATAGCATAAATAAAACTCAAGAAAACAACAATTTTTTCAAGAAAACAACAATTTTATTTAGTATCAGTTAAAGCAGACAAAAACATATTTTATAAATATAACTAGCGCAAACTTTAGACCATATATCTTCTAAAGGGGACTTGGAGTAGCAAGAGAGTGACCAGAAAGTATATATACTTTTACCAAAAATACGTCGAAATGAATCCAGGGTGATACAGGATCTGAGAGTGCAGACCATAAAGTTTACGCACCCACCCTTGCCTCCTGAATTCTTGGTTAGATAGACAATTATGCAAAATTGGTCGTTTATACTCCAAGTCCCTTTGTTAATAGAAGTAGTATTATTTATGTCTGGAGTTAGCTTCATTCAATAATAAAAATATCAATATAATCAATATTAATATCAATATCAGACTAAACTATCAAATAAATAAATTATCAAATATCAATTATTAATTCACTCTGATTAAAAGTTATAAATTAGGATATCTAATATTTAAGAATTTCAACTACAAGTGGTCGAAAACGCCCAAAGTCGATCTGAGATATTTTCAGCTAAAGACTCTGTTGGGTATGTGCACCCAACGGAATTTTGAAAGATTAAATTGCAGGTCTTTGGTGGTGTAGGGGCGGGAGTTAGATTTCACGATCGAAAGGCTATTGGTTCGGTTCCCCGCTGGTGCATCATTAGTCCCTGAGGTGAGCGTCATTGACGCTCAGCTAAGGACTCTATCGGGTCTATGCAGCTTCCCGGTCTGATCAGCCGAATGGAAACCATGTGTGAGGGTTAAATGAGTGTAAAAGGGTCCCCTTCAGTATACGACGGAGTCCGTAGTTTCGTATCCCCCCAGGCTGCTGACATCATGTGTGAACGATCCCTTAGGGCAGGTTTTTAGGTGAAACATTGGTAAAAACACACATGTTGCATCAGTTGTGGTGCTGCAGTGGCTAAAAAATTGGCCTGGGGATATTCGGTTCAGTCATTTTCATGCATTAACATTCCTTTGGTGTAGGGGCGGTATTCAGATTTCACTATCGAAAGATTAGTGGTTAGACTCCCCGCTGGTGCATGATTAGTCCCTGAGGTGAGCGACAGTGACACTCAGCTAAGGACTCTGTCGGGTCTATGCAGCCTCTCGGTCTGCTCAGCCGAATGTTTGGAAACCATATGCGAGGGTTAAATGAGTGACCCTGCCAAGGGTCCCCTTCAGTACAGAAGGGTAAATATGAATATTTTTGAATATTTCCTTGTAAATAATTTAGTAGTACAAATAAGTGAATTGTTGGGACTGAGTGGGCCCGAGATAACTTAAAGCATCCAAGCGTTCATTGGGAGATTGTGGATTCAAGTCAGTGGCGTAACGTCGCCTGTTGGCGCCCCCCTGCCGAAAAGGTGCCCCCCTGTTGGCGCCCCCTCTCCTTTTGGTGCCCCTCCCTAAAATTGAACAAATTAGGCAATATAAGAGGATACGCCGGTAATTCAAAATTTTTTCAAAATTGTCCCACATTCAAACGACG